CAACTTTATAAATAATAATGACATTATATGACATAAAGTGTATAATAAAATAATAATTAAGTATTATATGGTGAACAAGAATAAGTAAAAAATGTTATTCTCTCTTATATCAAGGAATAAATATATATACTAAAATTAAATTTAAATTAAGATAAATGTGTTAGTGAAATAATATATTAATTATTTTAATATTTTGACTAAAAAAATAAAGTTGATTAAAAGAGGTGCAAAATATATTATAACCTTATTGTTTATTATATTTAACGTTGATTAAAAGAGATGAAAATAGATGATAATTTTATTACTTTATATACTTAAACAGACAAAGCATGTGAAAATAACTCATTTAATAATTTTGTCCCGTGCATCGCACGGGTACGTACTAGTATATGATAAGGATAGTTGAATTTTATAAATTATTTGAATTTTATAAATTATTAACATACATAAATTTCTTTCCAAATGGTTTAACTTACTTAAATACCAAGTAATGTTATTTTTATCTCTTTTATATAATTTCACAACGCGCTTAGCTTAAATAGCAGATTCGCACGCTTCGTAATCTTACATGGCAAAATATTATGCTTTGTAATATGACTTGGATAAAAATTACTAATTTTTTATACCAAAATAAGAAATAACTTAGGTTAGGATTACCATATATATACTCATATTTAATATATTTAAATCATTACATATATATATATATATATTTATTATCTTCTTTCTATAACGTGTATATAATCTTTCCAAATTTTGTGCTATTTCATATTGTTCTCTTATGTGTTTTAAATAAGAATATTATAAATAAAATCAATGATATATATAAATTAGCTTTCATAATTTAAAATAATATTGTTAATTCACTTAGTTGTTTATTATAAATTGTTATATGTTTTTCTTTATTTACTTTTTCCAACTTCAACAAAATATATATATTTTTTATTTTTTTATTTTGCATTTAATTATTTTATCAACTACTCGTGTAGTACACGGATATTGTATTAATATTAAATATTACGCCAATAAATTTTTTATGGAAAAAAAGTGAAAACAACAAAAATAATTAACAAATACACTGTGTTGTTTACGTAATGCTTGAATAAAGTTGACCTAAACTCAATTTTTTCTCAATATTATTAATATAATTAATATTAATCAATCATTTCTTATACAACGGTAATTAACGAATCATTTACTCACATAATTTTAACTACTCAATCATCTCTCTCATATTTTTACATGAAATTGAATTTAATTATTTTATTTTCATACAAAAATTAAAATCTCCTCAAACTTAACCTAATAACTTTTTTAAAATTAATTATGGTTAACAAAAAAAATTAACCAACACTCAATCCAATTTATAGCCAAGCATACTATTAAATCTCTATAATGTTTAAAATGATTTTGCTTGTTCTAATTGGATCCATGACTGATTCACAGTCAACTTAGTCTTTTTTTTTTTTATGGTTTAAATGTTCCTATAAAGTAAAAATAAGCAATCATCCCCCTATATATAATTTTCGAATGCACTGAGCCTACGTGGATGCTTCTGGTGCTTCAGAATCCTACTTGGCGAAGAATCATGCTTCGTAATTAGGTTTAGACAAGTAATATTGAATATATTAATAATTATAATCTAGGTTCGGGCATTCCATAAATATTATTTAGCTAACTTTGGTATTTTAATATCACTTATACTGATATAACCCTTTAATTCTTTGTAATTTTACATAGTGAGGCACTAAGTGACTAATATATCCCTGACATTTGATTTGTTTCCCTCAATTAGCTATTGAATTGTAAATGTATTTTAAAAGTTGATAACTTTTGTATTTCTTATCAATTTTACATATATAATATATCAAATTAATCATCTTTTGATGACCTTCGATTTGACATCCATATTGTATATATGAAATAAATAAATTATATTTATCTTCATAATAATAAAAAATAATAATATTTATTAAAATTCATTAGAAAAATAAAATTATTTCTCAATGGATATATTTATGTTTAATGTAGTTACATGTTGTAAGTTAAAAAATTAATATAATATAACACACGTAAGTCGCACAAATAAAAAATTTTAGAATAATATATATTTTTTTTATAAAAGGTATTTAAATTTTCAACTACTTGTCTCATTAATTTTAGATTTTACGAAAAAAAATTTGCAAGCACCCATGTAATACACGAGTGTTGTACTAGTTTTTCTATTATTGTAAAAAAGAAAGTTTAAATGCCTAAAATATCCATACAAAAATAAATTAATCATCCCCTGTTGATGTGATTACCAAAAATTCATTTTTATGAATGAATAATGTTTAAATGGTTGAAGATAAAGTATGTGTCCACCAAAAATTAATTTCAATCATCCATTTTAATTATAATAAAGATACGATAATGATATACTCTTATTTTAGTTATATCTATTATTCTATTATATAGAACTATTTAATTGTACGTTATATCATTAATTAAACAGTTAACATACCCTTAAAATTTTTAATCATAATTTGTTGAAAATTTTTAGGTAATATAATAATTTAATTATGTTATCATGAAACAAATAGCTAGTGTCATTGAAAACAAATATATTTATCAAATCTGAAGTCACTGATTAATTTAATATTCATTGAACTTGTTGGTTGTTTAGCTACTCACTAACTCAAAAATCGACATTAATTCTAGTCAGTCTGGAAAAATGCTACAGTCTCGTTACGGAATCATCCCGTCGGGAGTTTTAACCGTTGAATACACATATAGTTAGTATAAAATAGATTATCTAACGATTAAAACACCCGACAGGATGATTTCGTAACGGGACTATACCATTTCTCAAGTCTTTTAAAGCAATTAATTGCGAAGACAGCGAACGTTTTAAGACTTGGTAAACAACTCTAGAGCCATTGACAAATTCACATCTAGAAGTGTTTGACAAACTTATATATTATTTTTTTTTTTACAAGATAGTTGAATGTTCAACCTATGGCTATTTCATGGTATTGCATACAATAAATGGTTTCATAAATCAATTCTTGCAACTTGTGGCATTATCTGTTCGTGAATCTTCGTCAACGTATACGTATACCAGAGCAAA